AGGCATAGTATTAAACCACAATCTTAATAATCCTGTGTGGGACTGGCCTTGGATGTTTTGGCTCCAAGAACCAACAGATGCTCTCATTAAAGAGGAACTCTGCAGCGGGATCTTAATTGTGGCTCATCCAAGTCATTTACCTAGAAATCTCCTACATAGGCCATTCATACAGACTCTCCTAGAGAGATTACAGCTAAATTATAAATTTACCATATTATAGATCTGAGCTCATTGCATACCTAAAATAGATTGCATGAGCAAAACACAGAATAGCATAGCCTAGATGGGTACATGTAAACAGGCAGAGTGCCCTGCTTCTTAAGAAAAGCATTACTCTCCCAGGGGGAAAAAGATTTGTTTTGTTTAATTCACGGAATTAAAATAAACCACAGGAGAAGCGGAGAACTAGTGAGCTGATGTTGCAGATACAGGATGGGAAGAGTCTTTGACCTTGTGAGGTATTTCACCAGAGAAAGGAATAGCTTCTTGGCTGAACAGCTGCTGTACAGAGGTATTTTTATTAGCTAAGTCCAAAAGGAAAAGGCATGACTGGAGAAAGTAGATCCTTCCAGCTTTAAACCTTGTATTTTTCCTCTAGAACTAAATCTGAAGCAAGTGAGTTTCAAATACTCAGTAAAAAGTCCCCATTGGTCTAATTTGCTCAGCAGTTTCTATCTCCATCATTATATTCTCATAAAGCGTGTCAGTCTCAAAAGTTAAGGTATATAAGAATATACAGAAGCAAAAGCGGCTAGTTTTTTTATTTCTGTTTCTGTATGTTTCCAGTTTGCTTGGATGGTAGCACTTGAGAAAACACAGTATCGAGGTGTTCTTATTTTCAACTCTAAGTCCCTATGGAAGGCAAATAAACAGCTGACATTTTATGACACAAAGTTGATTAAAAATAGACGCTGCAGGGCTAAAGAAATACAACTGCTCAACACAGCATCCAGAGGTGAACCAGGATATACAGCCGGTTACAGACTCTGACCTAAAGAAACTTGAATGACAAGGTTTGTTTTATACTGTAATACTTTTGATGATACAGTGGTCAGATGGTAAAATGTATTGTTGGTCTTCAAGATATCTGTAAGTTGTGCTGGATGTTGGGTATGGGCCTGTGAGGTCCTGAGCGCCCTCAGTTTCCACTGATGTCAATTGGCATTCAAGGCACTCAGTACCTCACAGAATTGGATCCTTAGTGAAGATCAGTATCTGAGAAGGTATATACTCCATCTGGGTAGGTATGACTGGCTGTCCAGATAAAGCCAAAGCCCCCTCCTCTCCTTCCCCATTTTTTTTGTCAGGAGGACTGCAGTGATTTGAAACCAACCAGGCAGGGAGCTAAGTGGCTGTTGTGGAAGTGCAGCTGAAACTTGTTAACCCAAGCTCTAGCTTAGGTAATAGAGGAGAGGCAATACCCAGCACAGAGCAGAGTCCGGACTTAAGTTAGGGAGCCTTGCTTGGATTTCAAAGCAGCGAAGCTGGCTTTTGTTGGACCATCCTTCTGTTCCAGAAAGAGGAAGCTTTTTATTTGGATTTTGCTTATAGTCTGAGAAAGGGGATGAGCCTTTGGGTCTCTTTTGAGAGTGGGGTAACTGTACCCTCAGGGAGATGGAGCCCAGCCCATGATATTCAGCATAATTGAAGATACACTGATTGTCTGGAAAAGCCCTGATTTTCATTCTCTCTGGCTATGTCTACACTCGCAACTTCTTGCGCCAGAAATATGCAAATGAGGCTAAGTGTGGAATATCACTGCACCTCATTTGCATACCTAATGAGCTGCCATTTTTGCAGAAGAGTCTCTTGCACCAGAAGGAGCTGTCTATACTGCCCCTTCTTGTGCAAGAAAAACCCTCTTGTGCAATGCCACTATGCTGATTATTTTCAAGAATAACGGCATTGCGCAAGAGGGTTTTTCTTGCACAAGCAGGGGCAGTATAGACAGCTCCTTCTGTTGCAAGAGCCTCTTCTGAAAAAATGGCGGCTCATTAGGTATGCAGATGAGGCTTGGCGATAGTCCACGCTTAGCCTCATTTGCATATCTCTCGCGCAAGAAGCCGCGAGTGTAGACATACCCTCTGTGTCTCTTATGTTCCTCAAAGGTGTCCATACCATGAATTTCTTTCAAGTCCCTTCTAAAAACTGTGGTAATGGGAAATTATGTCTTGTTTCTTAAAACAAACTTTAAAAGGCGTGATGGCAGATAAAGGAGGCACTTAACATACTTTAAGGTGAGTTCCTAATGCCTCACTTTGTAGCCTTATCAGAATGAGCAATAACATTGTGTCTCAATCTTTTATCACAAAGAATGTGCCTCTTTAGAGTTTGTCCTGTAATACACTTTATGAAAAGGTACATTACATTCCCTTAAAGAGCCAGCTTGGCACAATGGCTAAAAGTAATAATCTGTACTGTTTGGGAACCATCCTGCTTCAGCTGCTGTTACAAAAGGGAACTTGCTCAAACTGATTTGATGTCACTTCCAAGTGGGGAAACCCTGCAAAAAAAATGGTATCCTTCATTTTGCTTATTCACCACAGTCGTCCCCTCTTTGGCAATGGTGTATTGCCAGAGGCTGATTTAGCTATAGATAAGCTAGACAGCTTCCTTGAGTGGCAGATTTCTGGGCGGTTGCCTAGGGCAACAAATTTGGCCTGGCTGCTCTTCTGTCATTAGGGAAGGGCAGTTGGGCCAAGTGTGAGTGGCAATGCAAGCCTGCATGCCAGGTTAGAGTGCTACAAACATTCGCCAAATATAAACTTATTGTACTGGCAAATCCAATGGTGGAAGTAGTGTAACTGTATTTTTATTTTCATTTTAGGCAGGGTGGGTGAGGAACAGGATATGTGGGATGTGTGCGCATCAAGGGCAGTTTGCATACTGCCATGCAAGCACAGCTTGTTGGCAGGTCTCTGGACTCACAGGCCTGGTGGAACCTGTGCAAATTGGCATCACTAGCCTCTTCCGTCAGCCAAACAGAGATAGAGGTAGACTGGATGTTGCGTGATCCCTGACTTGGCAGTAACTGCCATGGAACGGCTTGTCTATAGATCAATGGTCTGGGAGGAATGACTTTCAGCGCACAGCCTGACTGCTGGGATTCTGTGCTAGGGGCAAGATCTGGGTCAGGCTCACAATCTATGTATGTCTTTCTTATGGCTAATATCTACTGCTCAGGGGCTTTCAGTCATATTTTTAAACACTTACACTGAACTCCTGTGTCCACACTGTATTTATTGGTGCTGGAACTAGGGATGCTTCGCCCCCTCCTTCCCCCCATCCTCCCCACTTGAAGTGATTTCCATTATGTACCGAGTTTGCAGTTTGGTTCTATGGCTTTCATCAGCCTCACTATAAACATTGTTTCAGCACCAATAACCATATGAATGTCCCATACCAGGACTCTGACATTAAACTGTGCAACTAAACACTGCAATAATGAGTTTTGTTTTTGTATTTTGTTTTTCGCATAGGATAAAAACAAGAGTATTAAGGAACTGGAGACACTCAGTCATAACAACCCTATTACTTATTTCAGCAGTCTTTTTGAGCCAAGTGGCATGCAATTCCATGTTCTGTTTATTATAGGAACATAGATGTGTAAATATTTATTACATTCTCCAAAAAGAAAAACAAGAGATAAAAACTTGGCAGTGATATAAACTAGTGCAAATGTTTTGTTTGCCTGAGTGCATTCTTATAGCCTCAAGATCAACTGCTATGAGCAACAAGATCTGATGACTAAAACATTGGCGTCTTAGAATGGTGATCACAGATCCTTCCATTTAGTGTCACTTGTTGCCAAGGTCTATCAAACAATCAAGGTCTATCATACAATCTAGGGATAGAGCTTGTGTTTCAGTACAAATACTCCTGCATGAGTCGTCCCCTTCCTCCAAATCACCCCCCAATCCTGTTCCTCACCCACCCTACCTAAAATGAAAATAAAAATACAGTTACACTAGTTCCACCATTGAATTTGCCAGTACAAAAAGTTTATATTTGACGAATGTTTGTAGCACTCTAACCTGGCACGCAGGCTTGCATTGCCACTCACACTTGGCCCAACTGCCCTTCCCTAATGACAGAAAAGCAGCCAGGCCAAATTTGTTGCCCTTGTCAACTGCCCAGAAATCTGCCACTCAAGGAAGCTGTCTAGCTTATCTATAGCTAAATCAGCCTCTGGCAATACACCATTGCCAAAGAGGGGACGACTGTGGTGAATAAGTAAAATGAAGGATACCATTTTTTTTGTAGGGTTTCCCCACTTGGAAGTGACATCAAATCAGTTTGTGCATACGTTATCAATAGACTCTCTAATGATCATTTATTAATATCTTCCTCTGTCTGGTATATTTGAAGTAACTTTCATCTGAAGGTCTCAAAGCACTTTATAAACACTAATTTTACTTCACAATCCCCATATGAGGCAAGGACTATTTTTCCCACTTCAGTATTGGGTAAACCGAGGAACAGATGCTGTTATGAGACCAAAAATCACAGAATGAATCAGTGGAAGATCAGGGAGCAGGACTCTTGATTTCTGGAAGCCACTACTCTGCAATAATCATTAGAACATGGAGACTGCTTTCATGACATGCTGCTTTTATTCCAGAGGTGGTCAGAGACCAACTCGCAGGCTGAATGCAGTTCACCAGGGTTAGCTCCTGACAGGCCACCACCACTGTATTTACCTGTGTTTCCACAAGTATGGGTGCTTGCAGCTCCCGTTAGCCACGGATTGCCATTCCCGGCCAATGGGAGCTGTGGAAAATGGTGTCCCAGTCCACGCCGCTTCCTGCAGCTCTCATTGGCTGAGAGCTGTGATCTGCAGCCAATGGAAGATACAAGCACCCAGACCTGCAGAGGCACAGGTAATTAAAATGGCAGCATCCCACCAGGGGCTAACCCTGGTGAACTGTCTCCATTTTATTGCCCACACCGACTTTATCTTCTGTTCACACATCTGCTTGATTCCCTTTCCTTATTTAAATGGAGTTGTCATCTCATTACTTAACATGCTGATTCATCTTCAGCAATGATGAAATGTTGGAACCCATTGAAAGGTAATTTGCATAAAGCTAAGGGAAGATTGCAAGATCAGTATAGCATCCTAGCTTATTTTGAAAGTGAACCAGGCTAAGGTGAGGAAAATGAAAGAGATAATGGAAGGCTGGCTACAGCTGAACTATGAAATAACAATTGGGGCTCTATAACTAAGCTTTGCACAGCAGCCTGTTTTATAGGCATATAAAGTGAGAAACAGAGATTATAGACTTGGTCAAACTATCACAATTAGTCAATGGTGGTTCTGGGAACAACCTAGAAATACTAACTCCCACTCCCTTGTTCTAATGTCTAGTTAACTGATCTGTTATAATGACTGGTATTTGGGGTAAAATGAAAGCAACTGCATTTACATTTGCCAACATGAAGTCCAATCTTGGGAATTAGCTGTTTTTGGATCCTTGCATCCTTGTGGGGAAGAGGACTGTCCACTTCTCCTTAACTGATTCGGAAGATTCCTGTGATTTGGGTTTACTGCATGGAGTGCATAGAGAAAAAGAGATCAACTGCAAAATCTGAATCCCCAAGTGAACGGCTGTGGGTCTTCCCATTCACAATATTTATTGGTTACATCTTAATAAATATGGAGATATACCTATCTCATAGAACTGGAAGGGACCTTGAAAGGTCATCGAGTCCAGTCCCCTGCCCTCATGGCAGGACCAAGTATCATCCCTAGATGGCCCCCTCAAGGACTGAACTCACAACACTGGGTTTAGCAGGCCAATGCTCAAACCACTGAGCTAAGAGGATCAGAAGTGCTCATGTGTATTGGAAAAACATTTGAGTACAATCTGCTAGGTGTGAAACACCCGACAATAGCTGTGAACATTCTTTCACCAGTTCTCCAGAGTGAGTTGTGTGTGTTTGTAAATATATAAATAACAGCAGCCAAATGCTGCTGCTTAAAAGTGTTGAGTCTCCTGCCTGAACACTTTTCACAATATTCTTTTGTCTTTTCTGAAGATAAATAAGGTATGGACCTAAGAATGAATTTGCAGCTTGTTGAAATGACTATGACTAATGCAACATGGCTTTGTCCCCTTCTGGTGGCTAGATCACACAGTCCTGTTTAAGAGCTAGTTATTCAGTCCAGTTCTTTAGTCCAGGTAATAGAAGCTCCCGTTTTTAGGTCCAGCCAGCGTACATTTAGTCCCTTGAAGAGTGACCCATCTGAGGTATTATTACTACAGTGCCGAAAAATAATCTGTTCTATTTAAAGATCATGTACAGCACTGTCAGTAGCAGGATATCTCAACTATGACCTGGACATGACCTCTCTCAGAGAGAAGGATATTCCATTTCTTTGCCCACCATTGTCTTCTCCAGTGAGTGTTCAGAATTGTAACCATGAGGTTATATAGGAAAATGATGTCAGATAAACCATGTAGGTCAGACAGCTATTCCTGTGAGAAATCGCTAACACTATTACGACTACTTTCTCTGGGCAGTTTAAATAATTTAATGCAGGGCCATCATCAGCAAACCCTGCAACTGTGCTCCAGTTATGAAGAGACTTAATAGTCTGTTTCTTGGGTCATTAACTCTCGGGTTTCTGTGGGCTTTCTAGTTTCCAAGTCAGATAAATGCACTAGGCCTCTTCAGTCAGAAAGCTAACACACAGGGTGAAATTATGGTTCCACTGATATAAATGGGAGTTTTACGCTTGACTTTCCTCAGGCCAAGACTTTTGTTCCCGGAGCAGCATCTTCTGGGATGAATTCTGCATGTACACAGGCTTTAGAGCTGTCCCTCCATCAATTTCAGTGACACCAGCAGCATAAGCGAGAGGTTAACCAGCTACTGGATCAGCGTATTGTTACGGTAAACTTCGCAGTGTTTGTAAAGAAGTGATTTGTACTATTTCCTAAGTTACCATGATATCTTTCCTCTTTCTTCATTACTAGCCTTGCCATACTGATAGGGCAGGTGAGGGAAAAAACGTAAGAGAAAAGCAGATGATGGACTGGTTTGTCCCCCCTGAAACAGAGTTCCAGTCTAATCAATGGCCTAGAGCGAACTTATTATTTCACTTTCTAGCTGATGGTTGCTCATATCCCAAAATCCCAACAAAGAAAGGTTTACAGTAGTTCTGTTTGAGAATGTGCCAGTGGTGGCCTCAGACTGAATCTAATTTCTCTGCTCGGGGGAGAAAATGCTAGGCTGCCAACAGCAACACAGTTTAAAGCAAGAGAATCCAAAAGATAGGGTACTTCATAAAGGAAGAAAAGAAGTTGTGCTTGTTTGTGCCATTTGCCCAGCTGCTGCTTTCTAGGACATGTTGCCTGAAGGAAATCTGTCTTTGTTGAGCCCTTTCAGGTAGGGCTCAAGGACAAATATAAACACCCACTAGTTTCAATTTCATAACAGTTGGAAAATCTTCTCTTGGGATGTGAGTCTGTGACAAAAAATATTAAATATGTTAATTTAGCATGTTAGCATATTTGAGTCCTTTCCTTATAAGCTTTACAGTGGTGTTAAAAGAAAAAAATCATTCTTGACTACTGTGCTCACTGGGTTTTGTCACTGACTGTCTTTTCTGACTACCACAGACTCACTGGGTAACTCTGTATATATAACTAAAGGCCTCAGCCAAGACCACTGAAGTCAGTGTGATGTTGGGCATCAATAGTACCAGGGTTTGACCTGATGGGTCTTTCAGAGGACATCAGTGGGTTCTGGATTGGGCCCATTATCTCTGAGTTTATCCCCATTTCACTGATGATGATGACACCTACCTCTAATGTGCTGCACAGCTGCATTAATGTTTCACCAAGAAGCTTGATAATAAGTCCAAAAAAGTGCAGGGGGGTTAATATTTTCAAGTAGCTAAAAGTGAGGCCCAGCTTCCCCATGGATCTCTGAAAGTGGTGATTTTTTAAAAAAGAAAATGGAGGTGACATAGCAACATATTCACCCCACTCTTCATGGGTCATGCCATTTCCATTCAAGAGGGGATGGGATATAGATATGATGTCCATAAACTATTTAAAACATCATCTCTTTAATTAGAAAAGGAAAACATGCATGGACAGGTGAAATGAAATACCCCCATTAATAGCTACTAGTCCGCTGGATTCTTTATCCTACCTCAGGACATACCCTGTCTATACACTGAATATATAAAAAATCTTTACCTCTTTGATAATTAAGTATCAAACACTGCCTTGATATAAATAGGCATTACTCCCCTAGATCAAATTTACACATGAATTGGGCCCAAAGCGGAAACTGAAACCAGGTGCACAAATCAAAAGTGAATGTAGTTTTTATTCAAAGGGGAATATGCTAAGAGTGCATGCAGTTGCCTTGGTGATAGAAAACAGTGACAGAAATCAAATGAAGCCAACACCACCTGCAACTTACACAAAGGAGACTTATCTATATCGTCATACTCTTCATTTAACCTTCAGGGGGTCAAATCCATAAGAGGACATGCATCAAATCCATAAGAGGACATGTATTTCAAATTCCCACTGCCCTCAACAGAAGAAGTATGGCTCAAGATTTGGCCCTATTTGTTTAAGCTTTTGGCTGAATAAACGTTTTTCTTCTGTGCAATAATAAAACTAATTCCGTATACTCTGCCCCACAATAAATAAATAAAATAAAGTAATGTTTTCTGATAGTGATTTTTGTTTTGTTTTGCTAAACTATATCATGGCTAGAGTTTCTAGCAATCTCTGCTGTATTTTAAAGGCTAAGTGCTTGTTATTGGGTCTGATCTTCAGGAACTATAAATCCCTATATTTCGGTTTACCTACTGGAGTGACGCTGATTTACACTACCTGTGAATCTGCCTGAATTGACTCTGTTTATGAAGCCAGTTAAGTATCTTTTATTATTTTATAAGTTACGTGTTACTTATTTAGATATCAGTTGCGAATGGATCAGACATACACTGGTTATTGTAAGCAGTTAGTGAGTCAGAAAATCAGACAAATTGTAGCACACTGAATTATTCATGTAATTTGTGGGCCGACACTGAGTGAGTTAATTACTAGCTTTCTAAAAGCCATCGCTGAGTCAGTCTGAAGTGTAGACTAATGAAAACAGACAAATGGATTTTTCTGAATTTAAGTGAAAAGTTGTGAATATATGCTGATTTCTCTTAGGACTTGTGAATGCTTTTCTTTTGCATAGAAGCTGAATCCTGCCCTGCATAGCAATTGCAGCTAACCAGTTATGGTGTAAATGTAGATCAAAGTTGTGCCTTGAAGCGCATCCCACCATCTGCTTCAGTTGGGGTTGACGTGATCAGCGGTCTGTCCAACAGAATAGACACCAAGCTCAAAACTTTAAAGGCAAACATATGCTTTTGGAAACAGAAATATATAACATTGGCTTGGAGGAAAGGAGAAATGTGGTTGGCATGAATATGTAAACCACAGTGTATGGCTTTCATGTACGCTTTAAAACAAAGCCATTTAGTTAGTTTCCCAGATGCTCAGAGAGTGTTAATGAAAACTACAATTTCAGTAAGAGCTACAGTATTCATTCAACTCTCTTCTTCAGTTTAGATACAGTTGTAATATTGACCAGCAAGCACTGAGATAGACACTTAGATTCAAATATTACCTTTATAAGATCATTTTATCTCAGTGGTGCTGGAACAATTTGTATTGTGGGGGTGTTGAGAGCCACTGAACCAAACAGCAAACCCTGTATGTGATAGAAACCACTCCAAGCAAGAGGGTGTTGCTGCACCCCCTGCACCATCCGTTCCAGACCTATGTTTTGCCTATACCGTGCAACTCTATGCACATCTGTATATTGTGCACATGAAGATAGGATAACAAACCAAAGATGATTGGCGCAAAAAGGAAGAGAATTAGACATTCCCATATGGAAATTTGGTTCTTTCAGGAAATTAGGGCCAAGGTTTCTTAGAAAACAATTCCAGTTAGACTCGAAAGAGAGAATCAAGCTCAGACAGGCTGGTGTTGATTTGAAATGCCTAGCGGGGAAATGAAGAAAGCAGTAAAGAACTGTTAGTGTAGCACAGAAGTACTGTATAGACATACTCAAAATGTCTGCATACTAGAGAACCTGAGGCAACCCCTGATGGCCCGTCACCTGCACACACTGTTGCTGGAGACTGGTGATGTGGTATCACGGTGTCTAAAAATGCACCAACAGTGACCAGAGCTTCTGCACACGTGTGAGGGGGCAGGCAGAAGGAACCTCTTCTTGTACCAGGGTCATTCCTACCTGTAGTTATCTCCTGAGAGCAGCAACAGCTCCCTCCTAGTGTCCCCTGGGCACAAATTACTCTAGAAATTGTTTGGGGGAAGGCAGACCATGGCCCGGCTTCTCTGTTCCCACCACCAACATTGGCCAACTGTGCAGGGGTAGCTGAACTACCCCATCCTCAAGGAATAAAGTACCAGGTGAAATCACCCACAGTCCTGAGACGCAGAATTGATGAGGCACAACCTTTTCCTGAATTCTCACTGTAGTAGTGTGGTTCTTCTCTGCTCCCACCTGGGTCATGTGCTAAAGGACGCACTTGAATTCACAGAAAACAGTGACTACATTTGGACTGCCACTGGTTTGCATGTTAGATTTGCAACCTGATTCCTGAGGTAATTCCTTTCAGATTATTCCAGACACACTCAATGAGCACATCACCGGCATGTTTGTATTAACTCTTAACTTCCCAGTGACTTATATTTTGCATTTTATTGATTTTCTCGGGTGTCATTGAGTTCGCACCTTTCAAAGCTTATATTATAACATATCTGCAGGGTAAAGTCAGCGATGCTGGCTCAGTTTCATGGTTTTCATCATGAAAAGGATCAGAAATTAAGCTTTTATATTTTAAAGTATCTTTAAAGTTTGTGGAAAACCCTGAAAATAACCACAATCCACATAAAATCCCTATGCCTTCCTCCAAAGTCTCTTGACTTCAGATGGTGCACCCTATGCTCCTAACAGTAGCAAAATTATTAGAGCCCTATACAGATACAAAATTTGTATCTGCATCTGTATTGGCAGAAATGAACTGCAGATATCCTCAGATTTGCAGGGCTCTAAAAATGTTTGCTCATGCTTGATTGTCACATGTAAAACTTTACTTGTAGGATGCCTGACACTTCCATGCTGGATAAATGCCTCTTTGGAAAACTATTCAGCCATTTCTGAGAATGCAGTAAAAAATGCATTGGTCTGCTTGTGTTTAAAACATCTTTGAGAAGCTCTCTCTCCCACATAATCTGACGCAGTGACTTGAAGAACCAGGAGAAGAGTCCACATGTGATCTTTGTTTTCAGGATGTGCATTTCAACATATTTTTTTAAACAATACAATTTTTTTAAAAAGCCCAAGTCTGGATAAGCTATAAGCCTTTGAAAAGTCCTAATTCTCACACGCGCCATAAAGACTTGCTAGGGCTTCACAGATGAATTCCCTGAAGAGCCTATCTGCATGTGATATGCTCTAACCTAAGGTTGTATGGGGCTGAACAGGACTATCCCTGCAATTGTAGAGCTGGAATTCTGTGCACTGGACTGGGGATGGACATTGGGAAACTTGAGAGCTGGAAGCTTTTCTCCCTTATCCACTCGGTGACTCAGGATGAGCCCAGAAACGCATGGAGGAAAAAGTTGGCTGATTCAAATACATGAGAGAGAAGAACCAGACCAGAATGGAGAATGTTGATTGGAACAGTGACTATTAGCCAGGATGTGAACGGCTATTGACTATGATGGGCAGCAATGCAAAACCATGCCTAAAGTGTCCCTAGCCTCTTTTTGCCAGAAGCTGAAACTGGGCAATGGGGGATGGATCATGTGAGGATTACCTGTTCTGTTCATTCCCTCTGG